CCAAGTCTTGAGTAGCATACTCTTCACCTCTACCGAGGGCCGAGTACGAGCGCCATTTTGCGACATTCGGAGCAGAGCAAGTTGCTGCACGAACTGCACGGTTGCACAGACCTTGGCGTGCCTATGGAATTAACCACCGTTATGTTAGTCACTGCGCCAGTGTAGTCGGTGGTAAGGCGATCACGTGATCTCACGTCGCGAACACAGTCCATATGGCTCATGCGAGTGCACACGTGCAACGTGTCACATGATGCGCACTATGCAGCTTCAATCGTCACCGACGCAATTTGGCGGAACGATGCAACGAATTGAGAAAAGGTATAGTTTTATATAGTTATGGTGACTGTCGTTGATGACGCACTCATGTCTTACCTGGACGAATTTGGCTGCATCACGTCATAGCAATATGCCTTCAGTCAGTATCAATCGTGCACACCAACCTACTGTTAGCACAGGACGGGTGAACCGAACTAGAACGTTTTGCGTAGGAGTCGATTTTGACTACTGCTTCCAAAAGCATTTCACCAGTTGCGCCATTACACCCTTCTCGTCAAGGTTCGAGAACAGGGCAATGATGACACACCCCTAGAGTGGATCAATCGCATTCTCTTGTACATGAGTCTAAAGGTAAAACTGCATGAGTCCGTGCCAGATCCTATCCACCTTGAAGATGATGTATCACAAGATCGGGTACAGGTGCCCCATCTATGGTGATATTTAGGAACATTCTAATGAGTCCAATAACTTCAAGGTGTCTGCGTTGGCTACAATGAAGTTTATTGGGTAATCAAAGTACGGCATGATCGCATACAGCTTCGAACTGACCTGCACATGATTTATGGGCAGTCAATTTGAATTTTTTTTGAGTTTGATCGAAATTTGACCGCTCTTTTTACTCCACCACATGGTTCACATTTATAAAACAGAATACTAGTATCTGCAGCATTATTCTCTAGCGAACGATCTCAGTGTGGTGGTTAAGGAAGAACCCTGCAACTCGGAGGAGTCAGCATCAAAGAAAAGCATCCAAAACGTGGAGAATTTACGTGTGGCTTTCGGCTAGTTCAACCAATTTATTTTCTCCAAACAACATTGTGAATATCTACGCCTTCACGTGGAATATGCAAGTGAAGCATGGACCCACAGTAGAAGCGGGACCACAGCTTTTTGGAGATTTCGCAACATGGGCCTACTAAAAACGTTAAAGGGCTACACCAGTTGCCAAGCGAACTGCAACTGAGCAGTCTTGGAGTTTTTGGTGGACGCCGTCGGTGTTCGTGTGGTGACCTTATCATGGTTTACCAGATTTTAAGCAATTATAACCCCTTGTGCTATCACATCGTTGATTTCAGCAGTAACAGGAGACGGGGAGATCCCCATCTCAAACAAGCAGAATAGAAAACCCGGTAGCGGTAGCACACTCGGAACTCCTTCCCATAACCTATTACTTTAAACCGCTGTATTCAAAAGTCGTGTCGATAGTGCTCTGGTCCTATTACATCATATTTCATAAAGCATTCGATACACAGGAGCATCAGAAGTCCAAACAGCCTCAAGTCATACCCGTTTTGTTGGGACAACCAGAGAAATAGACTTTAGTGAAGCCATGTGTAGTGTTAGGCAGGAAATGGTTGTTCACTGGATGTACTCGTTTTTGGTTCTTTACTGGAACAACTGAATGACATTTTATCAGCAGAATACCGTTAAAAGGTGTTCTGTAACCCGTAAATAACCAATTACTGTTCCATATTTTGCTCATCCTCTACATTGACCAGTTTTGACGAAAGCGAAGCTGCTCAAAAGTGCTACCTATGAACGTATTTGGGCTTACATTCAGCCGAATAGGGATGTTGGCCGTCCGTATTCGTTTCCCGTACAACTAGGCACTTAAACCATGTTGCAGAGGTTCCCGAAGAATTGTTGTGTCACCGCATTGGATAAGAACTGAGCCAAACTATCGGTATTGTTCCATCAGTCATCAATTGTGCCAACAATAGTAGGTGTATCAACATTAGCCTACGGTCATAGTAGCCATATGTCAGCGCTTGTTAATAAAAGTTCGTCTTCATAGTGAAATTCATTTGGATAGCATCGATGATAATTTGTATCAAAGCACAAAATGTGTCCACAAGGCGTCGCTTAAATGCCATAAGCAAAGCTTTGAGACGTCTGCAATTCAGCAGTGCTACAATACTATAATCTTCAGGCTGCTATGTGGAAAAATGACATCGGTGAGTGTTCACAATTTCAGCTTCCATTGTCCAATTTCTAAGCAAGCATATACCACACAACGATGTATCTCAAAACACACTCTAATTGAGTGGTAAATGCTCTACTAATATAGCTTCCTACTGATAGCTCCAGCCGTATATGTGTCGTGCCGCGATGATTCCTGACTGGAAGAAGAGCTAGGTCGACAGGAACTCTGCTGTCAGATCTGCCTAGCTTCCTAAGTGTCTGATGAAGCATTAATCTTAGACAAACTTAGACAAAGCAAATTGCACCCGGATAAACAAGTTGCTTGTATTTATATCTAGTGTTCTAACGGACGCGAATAGACAGACCTCTTATTTAGCCTAGACAAAATCTCTATTGTCTGCATCTAGCATAAGCATACGTACCGCCTTATTGCTAGCACACTGATGTTATCAAACGTGAACATGCTCTGTAGGAAACGATGGTCAGGGATACGGATTAGAAAATTCCTACCGATGACAAGAACAACGGCCCTGAAATTTGCCACTGGAATTCATAGTTGTAGGCTAAAGAGTTCTTAAAGACAATCACATCTGTCCAATTTCTTATCACAACACGGAGTAGCTTATATAATTATGGACCTCGGTCTCTACTATGGCAGATACTGAGAAATCATAAACGAATCACCATCTCTATGTTCCCAACACAAAGACTCAAAATGCCGAGAATCGGCTAAGCATCCGGTTAAAATGCTGATTGACTAAAAGAACCAGTGTGAGTCAAAAATGGGGGTTGTGAGAATTTTTCTAAAAACTTGAAAGGGCTGTCTAACGAGAATCCTCAGACATACACCGAGTCAGATATCCATTGCATAGCCGAAAAGAGAATGGCATGCTAGCTTTCCAGCAGTACGCACTCATTCTCGGTGACGGCCTAGAACCCGAAACTCGTAAATTTCGAGAGATTGCTTAAGACTAGTGGATCAAGAAGGAACGGCGTGATGCTAACGAGTCCATATACAACGATGCAGCTGATAATGCATTCCTGATGGCGCAATGAGCATCCTACTAACTATGAATTCAAGGAATATCATTAGAACTTTACTCCGTCTCACTTCTAAATACACAGTACATCTATATTCAGCCGAGAATGTTTATACTTCCAAGGGACAGTGGTGGCCTATAAAGGGATTCTTGCCTCTGCCGGTCAGCCTGGTATTTGCAGGTTGGAAATGCACAACCCATTTGAGGATGAGCTACAGTATATCATGACTAGCTGTCTGAGTACATGGTTTAATACCAATGCTTGAACTCATTGATCTTAAGTTCTAGTTTGTAAGCAAATAACCCCGGGTTTAACTCTTCCTCATGCAAATGGAAAGCGTACTACTGAGGAGTCCCGGTAGTACAAAACAGCTGTCAGTCAATTTCCGAATATGCAGAGGCTGCTTGACAGGGGGTGACAGCGAGAAACTTCTTTCGAATTAGCAAAAATCGCTCCTTACCGCTCTTTCTACACACCCCTGACTGATCCCAAAATGAACTATGCTGAGCTTGTACCGCTTAAACAGAATGCGACCTACGAACCATCGCTTTCATGATGCACCAAAATTGCATAATTCGTGCATCATTTAATGGAATGAGTTCGTCTTGCGCATGAATGCGAGGTTGGCAACAATAAGCTGGGAGGGATGACTATCCTGTAGAATTCCATACTGCTTTGTTCGAATGGTTTATAAAGCAGCTTAGATGCATTTTCATTGTTCCTGGATGCCACCAAATTACTACGGAGCAGATAGCACCATTTCGCGAAACTTTTCCGAAAGTCTGCATGAACCTATTCTCTGTTTTAGTGACAGTACTGTGCTTTCTCTTCTCATCTAAAGGCAACACAATGCAGCAACTTTGCAGTCAATTGAGTAAACCGCTTTATCGGACGGCACGGAGGTTTATCAAGCAATTACCTTAACTGCTGTGAGTAGATCTGTGCGATCAATAACCTGATAAGACTAATCTCCGCCAATGAGCAGTTACAAGTGGCCTGTTAGCTTCTTCCAAGTTATTGAGTTTTCCTGCAATCCTATCTATGACAGGTTGAGACAAGTGCGTTATGAAAATTGACAGCAGGAATTTTCCACTAGAGTATGCCATCGAAGGTTGCGCGAATTTTAGACTCCAATGCGCTAATGCTATTCAAATAGTGGTTTCTGCCTCAATGATGGTTGTCTAAACTAAGTCATGCTTCAAGGTTACTATCAGAAGTTATCTCACGAGGTTTTCGAACCGAGTGCGCAATATCTATTTGGACCGCTTTATCACCGAACTCGCTTGTGGACACAATCATATGCCAAAAGATCATTAACGATACATCTTTAAGAGCATAATCATTCACAGCACAGTGTTTGCCATTAGGTGACATGGTGAATGCTTTGTTTGTTGGAATCTTGTTTTAGAAACACTGGATATAAAATAGTCTTGCTCTGACCATCTAAGTTTGTCGTCGGTAACACCACAGTTAGATAGTCAACGAAATAAGATGTTATTTGGCCGACTTATCCACAAACAGGTTACACAAGCAGTATGGCGCCGAGACAACGGCTCAGTAAGTAAACCATCACCTAGCTAGTCTGTCTCGCAGGAGTTGTACAAGAGGGAGAAAGTCATTTTTCCCCTGTGCACTCAAGTGGACACAGAAAGCGGTGCAACGTGGCTATTACAAAGAAGGCAATAAATTCCCACAATGTAGGACGCACCGTGACAAAAATGGGGACATTGCGGTAGGTAGCATTGGAAAGAATAGCTCACCGACATATTGTCGAATTCCGATAAGTCCGATAAAGAGAAACAACAGCACTCCGGTATACTGGTAATTCAGCCTGTCAGCGAAATCGTCATCGTATCGAAGTCTTGATGACCCGATGCGACCGAGTTTGCTTAGCTTCCAGATGAAAGTGGCATCCATTCCTAAGGCACCACCGTGATCGAGTCCACCAAGCGAGTGTCCGTGACCGTCGGCGCCGTATGCACCAGCACCAACACCGCTGCAAATAGCACCACCGTAGGCGTCGCCGCCTTCTCCGTGAATTCCGGTGCCGGTGAAAGTGTGAGGATATGCGTCAGCAGAATGCCGATGACCCCCGCGATGATGATGCTCTTGACCTCTTGATCGGCGATGCTCGCCTATGGATCAGGAATAGTTGTATATGGTAGGAGTGAACTTTTGCAATAACCGCAAATCACACTGATGAATGGCGCTGTAACTATAAACGGAAGTTATTAACCCAAACTTGTACGCCCCCATGAACTGAGTAATTTTATTGCGTAACAGTGAAAGTTCACGGAGCCGAATGTGCCACCCATTGAAAACCATAAGACCTGGTGAGTATTTGCTAATACGACTGAGTTCTCCGCTCACCTGAAAATCCTTTGAATTACCCATGCGTAGTGACTAATGAGTGCTTTGTAAACCGATGTTTGTTTATTGTCTTTGTTTCATCAACTTGAATTACCTGACGATCTCTAATGATTTACAGTTACTTGGTTAAGAGAGATTTGGGAGGTTCTTAAGAAGTAACAAATACAAATATGCGAGACATAATGTCAGTGATCGGTAGTTTTACGTAAAAGCATAATTACACAAACATGCAAAGTAAAAATAGACTACCAAATGTTTCTCTTTGTTCAATCCGTCCTGATAAGAAATTCGACATGGACCGGTGATCCTAGGATCTTTCGGCTACATGACGGTGATCCTGTTGACAGATAGTTGCCAAGTAGGTGTATATTACGTCGCGTCTTGACTCGAAGCCTAGGCACAGTGTCATTTACAGAACTTTGTTTTGCAACTGACTTGCACATCAGTTTAATATGTAACCTTTGAGAATTCGGAAATGGTTTTGAAGTACGAATGAAAGTCACTACGTTTTTGACTTGTATTACAAGGAAACTTTATCATCTTAGGTCATAAATTACCTTCGATAATAACTAATATTTTTGATGCATCCTCTTGTATTAACCATTATTTTCGCCGTCGCAAGTAGAATACCAGATTATCTTGTTTAATATGGTATAGTTAGAAGATATTTTTAACTTCATTTTATTGATCGTGTCATAATCTATGAACATGCACTCACTTTTCAGAGATTTCCACATCTAAAGTACATATGATGTGTCTCGCAAAATTCAGTAGGCCTCGCGGTTAGGGATGAAGTAAACAGCAAGTAAACATTTCCAACTGACTTTTGTGGGTTGAATTTGTGCTGACGACCTCTGCACCACATGGTATTGTTGAACGAACAGAAGTGAGCCATGCATTCCCTACGCATCAGTCATCAAAGTAGAAAGAAGATCAGGAATGACCGAAATGTACGTGTTGTACCACGTAATTCTACTTCACAAAGGCATTTTGCATCAGCCATAAATTTCCACAGGACTCATTCGTCCATTTTAATTCCTAAAAGCATCGCATGATTTTGACTTCCGAATATTCGCATTCGCGTACGAGTTTCTTGTGGCCGACAACACATGTGGTCAAAGCTGCTTCTACTGAGACCTGCATACCTCAACTAGACGGCAGGCTCCAGTTACACCTATTCCTTTCCCACCTATGCGTTAGCCCGTTGCAAAACAGCTGGTTTGTTCCTATCGATCAGACTCCACGGCGGTCGCTGGCATGTCCCAGTTTGCGCACGTAACCAGCATGGCGACAAATGTGTGATTCCCACTACACCTGGTAGCTCTGGACCGGTAAAAAAATACTCTGGTGTGAGGTGGAACATAGAAAGAACAAATATAACACGCTCAATTGTAATAATGTTTGCCAATGTTGCGTTTCCTGGCGATTAAGTAAAATGTGTGAGTAGTTTTGCAAAGTAGACGAATTATATCTGGTTGATGGATGCAAAAGTATAACTGAGAAAAAGGAGGTAAGCGCCATTGTAAGCTGGCGAATTGCAGACAACTGATTCTAAAAAAAACTGCTTTCTTCCCTAAAGATTACCCTCCTCAAATGATGGGCACAAATGATTAACCTAGCATGCACATCATTGAAAATTCCGTTATGCTGACACCAATCGAGTCACGAATTTAATCTAGCAAACTCGGACTACGCATAGCCCCTACAGAGCGAAATGTTTTATCGAGAAATTTCTAACACGGCAGGGGTATTATGGCTTACAGAGTTATTGCTGCCAATAGCTGCATTTGTGCTAATGCTACTTCAACACATGAGGGCACAACAGGCAACCCATCACAATACATATTTATCTTCCTGTGTTTCAGAGAGGCGAAAAGCATCCGATAGATCGTGGTGTGCAACCAAGTACCAAAAGATGACAGTAGGAAGATTGAACTGGACCGCAGAGTAGTATTGTTTTATGCTTAATGAAGTTAGCTTGTGAGAGTTTTGTCGGAGTTTCACCGCTAGGTAAAGTAGCTGAAATGGAAACCTCCATGCTAATTTTGGTGGGGGAACTGAGATTATGGTGGGGTAAACGAGTATTTTAACGGTGAAATCCGTAACTCGCATGACATTAATTTCAAACGTTAAAGTTAGGCTTTCGTCCACCTCAAGTTGTGTGTTTCAGTCATTGCGAAAATGAGGGACCCCGGTCTATGCGTAACAAATATAGTGAAACTCCCTCTGGAAGAACTTCTCTAGCGAAATGGTTTGGGCTGACTGAATTCCCGACAACTCCTATTATCTTGTAATCAAATTGTGGTTGTGAGTCATTATCATCACGTTATCTGCAGGTGGAAAACACCTCAGGTATTGTGCCACAATACAAAAGACAAGAAAATGAAAACAAACAATGGCACGCCGGCTGAGACCCCAGTTACGGATGGACATCGTTCCGGAGAGCTAACAGCTGGCTATCGTGCCGTAAAAAGAGTGATATCATGCTTAGCGAGTGAAATCGTGATTGGAGGTGGGTGGACAAAGGAACTCACAACACAAACGCCATTGCGGCCGGCTCCTAGCTATATCAGCAAGTGTGTCCAACCAAACGTGTTCATCGTCCTTGGGACCCCAGCCAGGCAGTCGGGATTCATCAACCGACGCCAGTTTCGAAGTGAAGGTTTTCATCTCTCTCGACCTGGTCATCGCTTGGTCTCGCCTCCTCCTCTTTCAACTGCACCCACAACGCCAAAACAATTCACGTCGCGAAAGTCGGTGTGCTGGCATGTGCAACACATGGCCCAGCCATCGAAGTCTGCTGTGTGATGTAATGGTGCTAAGCTGTTCACTCGCTCTTCCTGCACCAAATACGCGACGCCAAACACGCTCATTGCTCACGCGGTGCTCTCACCAGACATGAGCTAAGCTACGAAGGCGGCGATGATCAAATGTGACAAATCTCTTTATGTCTGTCTACCTGGTGGGCCAACTTTCACAGCCATTTAGGAGAGCTGAACAGACGGCTGCGTTACAAACTGCCCTTCAGGGCGTGAGTAATGTCGCGATTTCGCCACAGGTGACGTTGATTGGCAAAAGTACTTGGAGCTTTCGCTATACGGTTTGTGATCTCAGCTTCAGTCTCACGGGCGCTAATATAGCATCCCAGGTACTTGAATTCCTGAGCGACACCTAGCAAATCACCACCAAGCGTTAGCGCAGGGGTGGGTTCCCACAAATCTTGGAGAAGTATTTTGTATTTCGATGGAACAAAGCATAGCCCAACTCGATTGACAACCAGCGCCAATCGCTCCAGTGCTGCTTGGCATGTTTTGGAGCTGTCACAGATCAGGGCAATATCGTCCGCATAATCCAAGTCAAGAAATAGCTAACCAGGAATTAGCTCCACACCTTCTAGGTTGTGTCCAGCGAAGGTTGTTTCCATGACTCCATTAATAGCGAAGTTAAAGAGGAATGGTGACAGCGAGCAGCCTTGTCTCACACCGCTGGTGATAATGAAGGGTGGCGACAGTTTGCCATAAACCCTCACTCTGCCAGAACTATGCGCGTACAGCGCTTTGATAACGTTCAAATTTTTATTAGGCACACCTTGCCGCAGCAGACAGTCCCAAAGTGCACGTTGATCGACTGAGTCGAAGGTACCTTTCATGTCAAGTAACACGACAACAGTGGGTTGCCAATAAACATGGCGGTGCTCTAACAATTGACGCAAGGTGAAGATGTGGTCGATGCAGCCGCGACCTCGACGAAATCCGGCTTGTTCTTCATGAATGCCAGACAATCTGTAGAGAATGACAGACGCAAGCAATTTAAAGGCAATCGAAATCAGACTGATCCCTGCATGATTGCCGCATTCCGAACGGGAGTTTCACTTAAATATTGGAACAATGACGGAGCGGTTCTAGTCTGTCGGAACTGTCTACTGCTCCCAAAGTTTTACTAGCAACGCGTGTAGATCTTCTACTAGAGCAGGTCCCCCGAATTTGAAGAGGCCCGAGGGAATTCTATCTGCTCCTGCTGCCTTATGCAATTTCGACAGTCTGATCTCACGTTCGAATTCTGCGCGTGAGGGTGGATCCAAGGGAACGGCCCAGGGACAAGGGCGCTCAATGCCCACAAGAAAAGCGATAACACAGGTTGGTTAAATTGCCTTGCAAAGTGTTCGGTCCTACGCTCCAAGCGTTTCGACAGGCTGTTGATCGGCTGCGCACTCTCTCAACGTATGGTCTCGCTAACACCAGGTCTCCTGCTGCCTATTTCCCGTATTACATGGAATAACTTACGATAATTACCAACGGTAGCGGCTGTTTCCATCTCCGAGGCACGATGAGACCACCAGGATTCGCAGTCTTTCTTCAGGCTAGCACCTAGTTATGCCCTGAGAATTTTGCGAGCCTCAAAGTATTCGCTTCCAGCCGAAATTCGTCGGCGAGCATCCATAAGTTCCAGAGACTTTGTAGAGACCCAATGTCCGGTTTGGTAATTTGATTTGCCACATGAAGTCATGCCTGCTGATAGTAACGTTTCACAAATATGCGACCAGTGATTTTCGACGCTGTTCAGTGGCCGCTTACTCAGCCCAGATGTCAGCGCACTTTGATGCACATTCAGAACTCATGGCTTCGCCAGCTGGGTGGTGTCATTCCGTTCGCATGGACGTTGCAGAAATCCACCACAACGCACCCGGAAGTCTGCGAAGACAAGTGCGTGGTCAGAGTACACGCTCGTGCTCCAAATAGAGCGTCAGTTTTGGACACAGCCTCTC